ATAATATATATTTATTTAATATTATATAATAATATATCATATATTATAACGTAATTATATTTTATAATATAATATATAATAATATTACAAGATAATATATATAATATAATATAATTGTAACATTTTAACAAATAATACCATAATTATAATAATAATTCTAATATTATTATTTTAAGGTACATATTATTATTCAGAAAAATATCTTATACTTTAATCTGTTTTTTTATATGTAAATTGACTATTTTGCCCTTTCAATTCAAATATATATATATAAAAAAAGATAATTTAATTTTTTTTTTTGTAAATTTAAGTTTTTTAGGAGTTTGTGTTCTTTTTTAGATTTTATTTTTGGGAATTTTATGTTTTTCTTATTCTATTAAGTTTATAGATTGAAAGGGCATAAGTACATTTTATGTACCAAAAAATGGACTCATGGGATCTAAATAATGTTACTTTGAACAACAAGTTACCTCAACAAGATTATCCAAACATGGAGATACCACCTTGATAAAATGCTAAACTGGTACCAGAATGATATTGTCCTAATTATTTGGCATTCAAACTAGCCAAAACAGTACGGTACATTGTTTTTTCCCCCTCGGAAGTACCGTGGTTTTACGCATAACATTAGGACCTAAATTTTACTGTTCGAAGTTAGCAACCATAGTGGCTTTATAAGGATGTTCAAAGAAGTTAGGCACTTGGATGACTTAAATTATAATTAGAGCACAACCGATCTACTAGTGAATTGTCTTCCTGAATTTTTGCACTTGGTGGAATGTCCATTTATGTCGCTACCCTCCAAATTTTTAGGTAATAATTTGCTTATGTACATTTGGCTGATCTCTTTTTTTTCTTTTCTTTTTTTTCTTTTCTTTTTTTTTCCCCCCCTTGATTTCTTAGAGAATATCATCATATAATCAAAACAATGGAAGAAGATAGAGGAGATAATCCTATTACAATTGAGTTTGAAGCACTGGCAAATGAACTAGAGAACATGATGAACTCTACTAACTTGACCATGTGACTTCGACGTTGCATCTTCAAAGTCCCAAACGTATTGTCCAGGCATAATCCAAGAGCTCATGAAGCCAATGCATTTTCCATAGGGCCCTACCATTATGACAAAGCCACACAAAAAATCAAATTGAGGTATTTGCACGATCTCATCTCCAGTTTTCCAGGTACAAATCCAAAGACGATTTTAAGGACTCATCGGAGCCATTAGTGAGGTTTAGCAAGAGGCTCGGGATTGTTATGCTGAACCTTTTGATCATATTAGTGCGGATGAATTTGTAAAAATTTTGGTACTTGACGGTTGCTTTTTATTGAGCTGCTCCGCAAAAATGTGAAAAGGGATCTTCGAAAAGATGATGGCCCTGTATTCACAACGAACTTTTAAGTCATGACCTGATATTGCTAGAGAACCAAATTCCTTGGCTGGTTCTGGAGCTTTTGCTTGCCATTACCAGGAACTGGAATCCCGAAGACCAGATGTATCCCCTTAGGACATTGGTCCTGAGGTACTTCCGTTATATTGGTCTCAATTTCTCGAAAAGACCGCTTTCTGACATTACCGCAGTTACTGAACAATTGCTTTCGAGGAAACATGAGAGCAAGCATATTTTTGACACGGTGAGGAACTCATTGGTGTTATGCTCTAGTATATATTACATGAGAGAAGTTTCGAGTGGAAACCCATGCCCTCAGCTACAAGACTGACGGAGGCTGGAATCAAGTTCAAGAAAGGTACTATTAGAGCTTATTTACATTAGATTAGAGTTGTCTCTTACTTTTATTAATAAGAGTAGAATAGTCTCTTTTTTACAATTATTAGTTTACTTACAATGGTATTTTTCAGCAATTGCATTAATAACAAGAAATCTAACTTCATTTTCTCTTCTCTTTCCTTCTTCTCTCTCCTAACTATTTTGCGTTGGATAAGGCACACAATCAACATCCATTTTAGATATTAAATTTAAAGCCGGTGTCCTCGAAATTCCGCCACTGGTCATTCATGAGAACACGGAGACTCTTTCGAAACCTCATCTGTTTGGAGCAGTGTCTACCAAACTGTGCTCCTATAGTGACTTATTACGCCATACTATCAGACAACCTCATTAACACTACCAGAGACATGGAAATACTTTGCAAAAGTGGGATCATTGACAACTGGTTGATTATTGATGATGCTGCGGAATCCTTCAGTCAGCTTTACGATGACACTTTCATCAAACAATTTTACTATTCCAATCTTATTGCGGAAGTGAAGGAATATAGTTGGCCAAGATATACAACAGTTCTCATGCATGATTATTTCAAACACCCGTGGGCGCTGGTTTCAGTCGTTGCTGCTGCTGTCCTTCTGATTCTTACCTTCCTACAGACCGTCTTTACCATCATTAATTAATTATATATTAAGTAGCATTTTATCTTGCTTTCAAGCCTATGTTCATTTGTACCATTGTGGAGAAATATAATGTAATGTAAGCGTTTTCCTTTGACTAGGATCTTTGATGTATTTTTGTATTTCCACCTCACATTTTGTTTTGCTAGCTATAATATGTATTCTGCTTTACTAAATAGAATGTTACAATCTTTACAAGCAAGCCTTGTTCTAAATTCTAATGATGCTTATTCTTGTCCTCAATCTTTTTTTAGTATATTTTTCCTTCATAAATGATTGAAATTTTATAAAATTACAAAAACGACCATTTTTATTAGCTCATTATTCAATTACTGATTGATTTTAGTATATCACTGATAAACTCGGTGATTATTCATTATTAATCAATGTTAGTTAATAATTAACAAAATTAATTAGTAATTAATCAATTTTAATCAACAAATTATAGATTTATTAATGATAAACTACTAGTCATTGATGAAAACACGGAATCTCTCTTTCTACTCAAAGGATAAGCCTAGTTTCAGACAAACCACTATGGGTCCAACGCCACACAACCATTGACCAGACAAGACCTCCTATATTGAGGTTGTCAAGATTTGAATCTAAGAATATCCTCTGAGGAGAAGAATAAAAGATATCATTTACTGTTATGGTTATACTATATAAACCTTATTAGTTTATTGATCATAATATTTTTCCAAGAAATCCTAGTTTCATTTTCTCTCATTGTATAATCTCACAGGTACTTTATCAACATCAATCTAGATATTAAATTTGAAGATGGTGTCCTCATAATTCCACCACTAGCCATTGATGAGAACACGGAATCTCTCTTTCGGAACCTCATCTGCTTAGAGCAGTGTCTTCCAAATTGTTCTCCAATAATTACTTCTTACGCCATACTATTGGACAACCTCATTAACACTACCGGAGACATGGAAATACTTTGCAAAAGTGGGATCATTAACAACTGGTTGAATACTGATGATGCTACGAGATTCTTCAATCAACTTTAGAATGACACTTATGTCAAAGAAGTTTATTATGTCCATCTTATCGCAAAAGTGAATGAATGTTGTGGACGTAGCTGACCAAGATATCGAACAGTTCTCATGCATGATTATTTCAAACACCCATGGGCGCTTGTTTCAGTCGTTGCTGCCGCTGGCCTCCTGATTCTTACCTTCCTGCAGACCGTGTTTACCATCGTAAATTAGTTAATTAGCATTTGATCTTGCTTTCAAACGTATGTTCAAATGAAAGCATTGTTGGCATATCTTGAAAGAATGCAAGTGTCATCACTCGTCTGTTTGGTAATATATACAATAGTGATCTCTGATCTCTCATGTGTTTCTGCATGCATACTCTAGTCATTTTGCTATTAGTACATATATTTTGTGCATTTCCTCGTTCTAGTGATGCTTTTGTTAATAGTACATATTTCAACGGTTTTCTCGTTCTTAGTGTTTAGTTCGATTCTCAAGCCAAACTCGACAGAACCAGAATTTTACCCTTGGACTCTGGTGAAATTTCACGAGAAAAGGACAAAACGGGGCACATTTTTGTCATCATCATTGCAACGACAAAAGCAAAACCTATCAAGACTTCAGTTGGAAAAAAAAAAAATAATAAATAAAATAAAAAGGACCAAGGAAATTATAATGTTACATGGATTAGATGGCCAAACAAGTTTTCCAACCACGTCCGCTCCTACACATTGAAAATTTGAACGTCAATATCACTAAAAATGCTAAAACCCACGATAGCTCAAATGCAGTTCTTCCCAGCAAGTTTTCCAGAACCACACATCACAAGTTCGTAGGTTATAAAACCCAGCGATACACAGAGATAATTGTGAGTAGATGCCTTATACATAAAGAGTACATGACCAGAAACGACATGGGTGATCCCATCCATCTTCTGTTTCACCATTCGAGCTTCAAAGATTATTATTCCATCTTGGCACTCAACTTATTTCCTGCAACACCACCAAAAAAATAAAAATAAAAAAGAAAGTTGATGGATTTGTTTCTTGTGTCTGAAAGTGAAATACCGGCGCGATAGGTAATTGTAACAATTCTATGATAAAAATATGCAAGGATTTTGTCAAACTGGATAATTGACAACCAAAGCCTCTTGTAGTGCGAACAGAGCATATAGTATATAGAATTGGCTAATCAGCTTTGTTCTTTTCTATCTCCTGGTAATCAATATTTTTCGGTGCCACACAAAAGACATGGGCAGAGGCCCTGCATTGTTGGGTCCATGCCCTTGTGTCTTGTGGGGCTCGACACCTATGGTGCTGAACAATAATGTTAGAAAGTGCGAGAATGGAAATACCGACCCCGGCATGGTACGGAGCTCCTGGGATTGTATCTCACTGTCCTGCAAAGTTATTAACCGGCCCAAGTTTTACATAACCAGTTATCAACTTAAATCGCTTAAATAGAGAATATAGAATCATACATGCAATGGAAAAGTACTCTCATGCATAAATTTAAAAAACCAGGAACCAGAATCAACCTTCAATCCATTTCCAGTAGGCGTTTCTTTGTTCTCCATTGGTTAAGTATCACTTCAACTCCCTCCTTTAGAGTAGCCCTTCTCCCTTCTTGGCAGTTCCAAAGTTCAGGGGTAATATATCTGCCACTTGGGTTGTATTCATTTATCTCAATTAAAGCTCTTGTCACCGCGTTATAAACATCAGCACCCATTTCCTTTTTCAAAGCTTTCAATTTTTCATCTTTATCATCTATAATTTCCTGAATTAATTAAATTGACATTGGAAAAATATATCAGACTAAAATCATAACAAGGTAGCCGCAGCAAACAGGAACTGTTTGCCCAAGAAAAGGGAGCCTTAAAAGATATTAGATGATATATATTGGCGGAGGGCTCCAGTTTCTAACTCGGGCTCACAAAGTGGGCCGGGGGATTTCTGGGTATCAAAAATAAAATAAAATATAACTTAGACAAAATACTAACTAAACCATGTGAAGCATCAATGCCAGACAAAAGCACCATTCCTGAGGGCATCTCAGAAAGTTTGTAACATCTTTTGATTGAATTTTTTTCTTCAAGACAAATTTCTAGAGTGAAGTAACGTAAATACTTCTAAGACACTAGTGGGAGTGTTCATATAATACTAAACTCTTTTTTTTTTTTTTGGCATATATAGGAGAGAATGTCTGCGCTGGTGATATAAGTTGAGTTTTGCATAATCATAGTTTCACTAACAAGAAAAATATGTTATTTTACAAAATTTCTAAAAATCACAAACTATGCATGTTTCAGAACAAAGCAAAACTAGGGCTAGAATGTAGGACGAAGAACCAAACTTGAAAATAATTACAGAAAACAAACCTTATGTTTTCCATCAACCATGGTAACTTTGAAAGGATGCCAGTCTGGGTCCTTAAGATATTCATCCCACAACGAGCACAGCTCCATCGCTCGATCTTCTGCTTCTTCCTCACTATACTTTCTCTTCATCGATTCCAGGAATGGCTGAGTGTCAAGTTCTCCCATTCGTTTGACACCAGTTGTGGCACGACTTGATGTTTCTTTCAAGCCCTAAAAGTCCAAAATTAGTTAAGATCATAGTCCACATTATGGTTCCTCCAATTGATCTATTAAACTCTCCAAAGTAAATTCCACTCTGGATTAAACTACACCTAAATTGTAAATTAACACTGAATCTTTGAACCTTTTAAGTAATTGGTCCCGAAAATTAACAAGAATTTACAATGACTAATAAAAAAAGAGATTAAACAATGAAGTTCAATTAAAAAAACAAAGATATTAATACAATATGTATTCAAATTGTCAGTGAACTTGGAAATTAAACACTCAACCAAGGAAAACTGTCATTAATTTGCATTTTAGCCCTTAAATGTTCACAAAAGGCAGGCTGATTTGGTATAGTTTAGGGAGTAATATACAATACACCCTTTTCCTTATGCCACCAAATTCTTTATATAGACCTTTTGTTTCAAGTAAAAGAAGCTTAAGTCCATAAACATGGGAACGCGTGCATCAAAACTTAATCATAGAATTGCGAGCTAAAAAAAAAGGACAAACAAACAAACAAAAGAAAACAAAGAACACTCCAAGATCTTTCAATACAGATTCTACCGCAAGACAGTCATTAGCAGCAATCAAAAGCTACATATGAGGCAGGCCAACACGCACACACACAATATATATATATAGCAGGAAAAAAAATTAAAAGAAACTTACACTGATCAATTCCTTCCGAGCCTCCTGCAGCTCATCATTGCACTTACGCTCCTTTATAATCAGAGTTTGATTCAAAGCTTCTAAATCATCATATTCTCCTTCCTTTTCTCTCAACTCTTTCTGTATTGCCTCCACCTTTTGAATAACTTCTAGATCATCATCACCCATGTGTTTCATAACATTCAGTGAGCCTCTTAGCCTCTCAATTTCAAGTTCAAGCGCTTGCTTTGCATCCAGTTTCTTTTCTAGCTGGATTATTCTATTGTGGAGCTCCTCTTTTTGCCTCTGGATGAAATTGGTTGCCATATATGTTAATTTTATTTGCTCTGGAATTAGTAAGGAAATAACTTGGTTATAATAAAATACTTGAAAATAACTTAACAACCTTCTGATCTTCTGCCAATTTCATCACTTTTTCATCAGCCTTCTCTTGCGCCAAAGCAGCCATTTCAAGAGAACTATTTCTGATGGCATTCTGAAAGAACAAAAAAATCAGTATCATCGGGGTTCAGCATTAAGACAAGTTTGCAACTCCACCTACTGCAGTAAATAAGCCCCAAAGTTTGTTTGAAACCTTACTAGGTTTTAGGGAAGGGGAAAAAAATAATATGAAATCTAAACTTCCGACTAATAGTTTATATATTAAGCCACTAAACATATGCACTCTCCTAAACACAAGGAAGTGTGGTGTGATTTAGTCCAAATACATCATAAGTAACACTGCTAAAATGCACAGAAAATCACATAGATATCATATTGGATATACCAGCTTTTAAATTTTAATGGGGTTCATCATATAAATGACTTGCGATTAAACTAGTGGTAAATACCTCCACCAAGTACGTACAAGCAAGATGAAGCATCATGAGCATTCATATAAATTCTAGTTTACACCTATCACTTTTAGCAATGTTTAGTCATATTTGGACAGCCAGACTAGTTTCAACTTAACCCTCAGTAACAATCTTGCACTTTATATTCTTGACCACCATCAAATTCCTTTGCCCCAAAGAGTCTATATACACCTCCTTGATATGCATGCCATCATATCATCTGAAGTATGAAGTACCATGAAATGCAAAATGCCAAACCTTTTCAAGCTCCTCAGCAAGCTTTTTTCTTTCACTATCATTAACAGCCTCACGCTTCTCCAGCTCCGAGCCACGCAACTCAAGCTCCTTTTTTTGAGATTCCAATTGAGACTTAAGTTTTTCATGGTCATTCAAAATCCTCTGAAGGTGATCTCGTGAACTTGATTGGATCTTTCTAATCTCTACAAATACAAATAGTTACACAGCTTAACTTGAGTTCACCAAAATACAACAACACCTTGTAGAACAAATAGCAAACAAAACAACTGAAAAATGAGAAAATTGAATCTACTTTATCCTTCTGATGGACCTCGTATACATTTCAAGAATTGGAATAGCCGGACACTTGATGAACCAAAATATATAAGAGATTGGATTCCACATTTCAATTTAGTACAAAAGACAATCTGACCAAGATATACCTTCATTATAAGTTTGATGGAGCCTATCTTTCTCTGCCATTAAAGCATCAATGGAATTTGAGGTTTCCTTAAACTTCACTTCCATCTCTTCCAAATGTTTGTTCTTTACCTCAATGATGCTTGTAAGGTTAGATACGAGTCTATCCTGCTTCCTGGCTTCTTCCTCCATAATTTCAGAAATGCTTTTAAGGTCTCCAATCTTCCTCAAGTGTTCTCCAACTATGGTAGCTGAGTTGTAGTCATCGGCGCGAGCAACCCAAGCATAAATACCAGATTTTTCATCACTCTTGGCATACCAATCCTTTTTCCCATGACGATCTGCCTCATAAGCTCGCTCAAATGACAGAGCATTATGTAATCCAGGCCAGCCTTTGTTGAATTCCACGACAGCAGTTCCTGAGTGACCTCGGTAATTCCACAGAGGACGCACTCGAGTTGGATTGAACCCTCTGCTTATCAGCTCATCCCTAAACTTAGACCCACTTCCTCCGGCAAATCGCCCATCTTCTGTCTGTGTAATGGGAAGATTAACCGCAATCCCTATCCAAGGCCACACAAACTTGTCATCATTGTCACAACTAACAACCGGGGCAGCGGCAGGGGCAGGGGCAGCGGCAGGGGCAGAGGCAGGGGCAGGGGCAGGGGCTTTCTCCTCGCCTGCGGGTTCCGAGGGACCAACTCCACCCGCTAAATCTTTCTCCAAAAACTTGGCCAAAGCCAAGTGAGTGATCTTTTGTTTTGCACTTCTCTTGTCGGAAGGACTGTTTCCCACCCCAGAAGCATGTTGGAGTAGATCTCTATAGAGATAGTTTTGCTTTTTCTTCTTCTGGCAATATGGGCAAGTAAAAGTTCCATCCCAAAGTTTCACATGATGTTTTCCACTCTTTAGCTCTTTGTAAGCTTCCTCCACAGACTCGTCCATTTCAGTGTCACTTTCATATGAATCTTCTGACGTGGGCACTGAACTTCCCATTTGATCTGAAATTTGAAATATGCGCAAGTTGTCAAACCTATTTGCAGGGAAAATATCCATTTGATGCATAGTGCTTGGGAAGTAAAAACCTCTTTACAAGTTTACCATGCAAATGTGAAAAAGAAAACATCATCGACTATATATCACAGAAGCAAGCGCCTTAGTGTTTTTAGTCACTAGTGTGTCTTGTTATTTTTCAGTTCGTTTTGGTTTTTTCTATGTTCTCTCTGGGAACTTTTTCTGGAAACAAGAAACGAAATGTATTCTATACTCTCTGAGAACTTTTTGTCCTCAAAGGGTTACTTTTGTTGTAATATTTCTCCATTAATAAAATTCGTTTCTTCATCAATATATAAATATATATATATATATATACAAAACCGAAATGCGTTTAAGTTCATAAATTAACAAATAAAAACAATAAAAAATAAAAAAACAAAAAAACTTCATAACCATCAAACAATCTCAACAAAATGTGGCTTAAAAAAAAAAATTCAGCCATTATCTTATACAGAAGACCACTCATTCCAAAAAATTCAAATTAATCCAACAAATACTAAAAAGAGTGAAAAGGAAAAAAAATAATAATCACAAACAACCAAACAAAAGACTCAAAAACATTCACGCAACCAGTACAAGAATGATATTCCAATTATTAAACCAAGTCGTTATTTCGACCAAAAAAACCGAGTCTATCTTTATCACACGATAATATCCCAAAATCCCATCATGCAAAGAAAAGTATAAAAAACAAAAAAACAAACAAAAAACAAAAAACAAAAACAAAATAAAATGTTCATCTAAATTGAGGCAAAAAAAACTCGAAATAGAAAAGCAAGAACCCTAAACAAGCACAAAAACGGAGAAGAAAACCTCAAAAACGACAATGTAGCAACAAAAAGCTCAGCCAAAGAAAGACATGCAATAACTGAAAACGACTAAAAAATGTAGAATTGGGGAAAGAGGGCTTAAGTTCAACCCGGATAGCCGTACGGAAATCGAAGCTCGCAATCCGGCGATGAAATAGCAAATTGGGCCGTGGAGTGTTGGAATTTCAGAAGAGGAAAATTTGGATTTTTTTTTTTTGGGTGTGGGTGAAAAATGGTGGTCAAAGGGGTGAGTGAGTTATAATTGAGAAATGGAACTGTTGGGAAAAAAGCTGGAGAAGACGACAAAAGGAGCTCAGAGTTGGGGAGTGTGTTTTGTGTTCAGCGTGATTCTTCACTTAACAAAGAGGCAGACATGGTACTTGGTAGTTGAAAAACTGCAACAGGGTTTAACTGGCGCGTGACTGTCACGCCCGTGGCATTGATGATGGAGATCGAGAGTGGGAATTGATTCACGACTGAGGTTCATCCAAGTTGTTCTTGGGCCTAAACTATTGGCCCAACCTGGACATTAAGTGGGTCGGGCCATTTCAATAATGACGGTTTTTTTTCGGTCCGTTTAATTTGGTCTAAACTGATTGAGGTTCATTCAAGTTGGTTTTGGACCTAACCTATTGGCCCGATTTGGACATTAAGAGCTCGTTTGCTTGGATGATTCATTCTCTGATTCGAATCATAATTCATGATTCGTTACAGTATTTTTTCTCACAAAAAATACAAGTAAATCGAAAATAATTCTAATTTATGAGCCAATTTGGATGATTCATTCTCTGATTCGAATAATAATTCATGGTTCGTTACAGTATTTTCTCTCACAAAAAATACAAGTAAATCGAAAATAATTCTAATTTATGAGCCAAACAGGCTCTAAAATGAGTCGGACTCATGTCAATAATGACAAGTTTCGGACGGATTCTTTTAGCTCGGTCCAAACTCATAAGCTTAATATATGTATTTATGCTCCACGAATAAGAACTGTGTTTCAGTCGTTGAATTAGTTTTTCAATAGTCTAATATGAAGTATGGATAGTTCTGTATTACTTGTTGTAAGTTTTTAATGAGAACACGCACAAATTTAACCGGTTAAAAACTAATTCAACAATTAAAAACAATGATTCTATCGATTTAATAAAAATACATGTCCTACCATAAAGATTCCCAAAACAAAATTCCTTTAACAACTTTTTTTTTTTGGGAATTGTGGTCTTCTCATCTAAGTATAAGTAACAAAGAAAATGCTTTTATGTTGTTGGCTGAAATTTGATGTCCTATATAGAGTATAGAGAAATGTGGTGTGTGCATGATAATTTGGAAACTCCAACATATTTTGCCCATAAAAACTGTTGTTTTAACTATTCGATTAGTTTTTCAAAAATATGATTTGTACTTATTCACATTAAAAAATTATCATGTGCGACACAGAATTGTGTCAACCACAAATAGAATCGTTGGAAAACTAAGTCAATGACTAAAACAATAATTTCCACTAATAAAGTAAAAATAATAGTTTCTACCATAAAAATTCCCTAATAATTTATACATTTTTCTTTGATATCATAACATTTTTATAGTCACTTTCTCTCATCAAAATTAAAGAGGTGAGTTAGATCGTCTTTAGATCATTATTTTAGCAATTTAGTTAAACAAAAGGCACTTTACAAACTGCTACAAGTTTTAGGCTTGGATTAACATATACGAGGGGACATAATGTTGGTTTTGAAAATGATTGTCTATGCGGAAGCTTGTATCTAGCGGATCGCGTAGAACAAAAATTTTGACAAACCTTTGAGATACTCTATAGATTACATTAATTTATGCACGAATAAATTAATTAAATTAATTTATGAATAAATTTACCTAGTAAACGATTAGGTCGATAACTTGAGTTCTTTGAACATGAACGTTCCTCGCTCTAAGCTTGTTTAGAATACTTGAATCTTCCTCGTCAATTCCTTAAATCTATGAAGACGTGTGTGTGGACACACCTAAAAGAAAATGGGATTAGCAAATAAACACTCAAGTATTCCACGAACACCAACACATGCACAACGTGGAATTAGGAGAAAATTTTTCCTTTCTTCACTCTATAAAATTCGGCCACATTCTGCTAGGGAGAGCAAAAATTGTGTTCTCTAATTTTCTGCAATATCCTATTTATAGAATAGCTGTCAGACTCCCAGAGGAAGTTTAAACTTTTTCTCCAAAATAAAGCTTAATAATTATCTCTCACCTCTAATTGATTTTGGAAACAAAATCCCCTCTCATTCTTATCCACAGGGGCCGGCCACCACAGGGATATTTCTCCTTGTGGTTAGCGCAAATAGCAAATAGAAAAAGAGAAAAAAATTTCTTTTATCCTACAGTACAATTTTAACTCAAATTCAAATTTCAATTTAAGTCAAACTTAATTTAATTTAAATTTCAATTGGACAACTTATCAAATAAGTCAATTGGATAACTTAAAGAGCAAGCAACTGAATTCCAAAAGGATTCCCACTGTGCTGGGCATGTACACCATGTGGACTCCTCCACATATGTGTTCCAAAATTTAAATTTAAATAATCAAATTATATAATTTATAATGAATTCTCAATTAATTATTCTTTAGTGTTCTATTTAGAATTTCATAATTCTAAAATTTTTATTTTGCCCTTAGTGTCTTGTAGGATTACAAGAACGACGCAGAGACTCACAAACCTATAATTCTGAGCTCCAATAAAATTAATAGTTAATTAAAGCTCTTTAATTCATTAATTAATTCTATTAATTCCAAAAGTTACTCCACTATAAACTTGAAATTGCACTCTCGCAATTATAGATATAATTTACTTCTAAATTGTGAGGTGTCCACTTGTTATAGTCATTACATATAGATTAACTCTCCATAAATAATTCATAATTAGAGCAAGGTGAAATCCGTTAATCTCTCTAATTACACATTTATCCTTGAGTACCATTGATTCTCTAATGGACAGTGATTCATAAAATAAATTCATGAACTGGAGCTCCTACTAGTCCAAGTACCAAATCAATCCTTAAGAGAATTATTTATCTGCTTATTTCTCAATAAGGAATGGATTCTATCTCGTGTATTAACATTCACGGCTATTCGCTTCATCATGTCTCCAGCATACAAAGAATATGATTCAACATCTCAGAATCCATACTGAGTAAATAAAAGAGAACAAATCCATAAATATGAGTCTAATAATAACTCAAAATTAAGATCATTCTATATACGACCATCGATAGACTCAATTAGAATTTCTATTCTTAATGGAAATTTATATTGTGTATGTGTCCCGGTTCCACACAATCTCATTATGCGTAATGCACTCATTCAATATCTCGTCATATTAATAGTGCATATAACACCATTCCACTCTAAATGAGAATGACATGTATTAGTAATGTTTTAATTAAAGATTATGAAGTTTAACTAAATTCATTACGAACATCATTTTTATTATGATCCTTAAATATTATCTTCTCACATATAACACGTATATACAATATTTAAAGTCACATAAATAATCATGAAATTTTCAATAATATTCATACAATATTTAATAATCTATGCACATAAAGTAATGAATAAATTCTTTTATTAAATAAATAATAAATATCCTATTACATCTCATGGTGGAGAGATCGGCGTCGCACAGAGGAGAACAAAGATCACCGTCGCGCTGAAGAGAACCAAGATCGTTGTCACGTGGAGGAGAATGAAAATTGCGAGAGCGGTCGTCATTTGCCAGTGAGAACTTATTCAAATCTCTCGTGTTGGTGAGATCTTATCTTTTGTAAGTGATAGAGATCCAAGGGAGAACTTATTTCCCATAGTCTCGGTGCCTACGAATCTCCTATTGGTGGCAATCTCCGGCATCGAGATAGTGGCCTCCACACTACACACAATATGGTGGCCTCATTGGCAAGGCAATAGTATTGGCATCGGCATTTGCAAGATGGTGGCAACAATTGCGAGTTGAGAGAGAGAGACGAAGAGTTTTTTCTGAAATGAGGTGGGAGGGAGAGAGACGAAGAGTAGGGATGAGTATTTTACCCGCGGGTACCACCCTGAATAGGGCGTATATGGAGGTTATTAAATAGGGATAGGGGCGGGGATGGAGATTTATATTGTCCCTCAAATCGAAAGCGTGGTGAGGGCGGAGGAAGAGCTCCCCACCCCCGGCCCGATATACATATACATATATTTATAAAAATATTTTTTTATACAAATATATATTATATATCGTAATAATACTTAAAAATACGAGTCTTAAAAAAATTAAAAGTATTTTACTATTTTACCATCTTAAAAAATAATGTATTTTTCATGTTTATTGCTTATTTAGTAATGAATTAAACTGAATTGAAATATTATTTTATGTCATTTCTTGTAACGGGTTCCAAGTTTTGTGAATTATGATGCCTAAGAAGAATAAGCAAGCAATGAAGTTGGCGTGGAGGAGATAAAAAAATCATAACAATAATGTTCTTATTGTTTTTAATGTTTTACTTTTAAGACTTTAATTTATTATTTAGGTCTTGGATTAAATCTTTATATGGTTGTAAGATTTGATTAGTTATTTTTAGAGTTTGGGTTTTCTTTTGAAACCTTGGTTTGTTTTCACGAAATATCAATATTATATTGATCAATTTTTATATTTAATTTGGTGCAATTTATTTAAGTGTTAATAATATTGAAAATTTTATTTTTCTTATTGGGTAAATGGGTAAGGTATAGATGAAGCCTTTCTGATGGGGATTCCACGACCCTGACTTCGATCTCAAATATGCGGATATCTGAGCGGGTAAGAGGCAAAGGTGAAAGCGGAGATGGGGGTGGAGGAAGTGTACCCGACCCCATTTCGCTATATGCTCATTCTAAACGAAGAGTTGGAGAGAATATGAGAGTAAGGGAGACAGAGTTAGAGAGAGAACGTGAAAGGTGGTTGAATTAAGTGTAAAATTATCTTTATGATATTAAATAAGATATTTATTTAGGTGGATCTATTCACACACCCATTTTACTCTCCACACCTCCCTTTAAATTACAATTCCTTATGACAAAAAGAACCTCACATAAAATGACAAAAACGGACGATTACAATGACTTAATTATAATTAAATTTTATTATAAGAGAACACTAATTACATATATTTTTTTCTTTCAAGACACTCCACACATTATATCCCAAATTTTATGTCTTTTTATTAATAATTTATTTTTTAAAAGATAATCATTTCATCTTGATCTTTTGTTATTATAATGTTGGACTTTTTTTTTATGTTTCATTCTCTCTGTGTTTTTTTTTTGTTTATACTCTTTAAAATTTGCTTTCTCTCTCTATTTTTTTCTTTTTTGATCAATACCTTAATTAATGTAACAACAATTATGTTGTTGTTATGCTTATATTTATGTCTTTTATTTTTCTGAAAAAAATGTAACAGTAAATTTTTTTTATGTATGAGAAAAGTTTTCATGCCCAAACTTCAAAAAACAAAAAAAGAGATGAAGAAATGATAACATTTAAAATAACAATTAAAAAAAATCCTATGGCATGTGCCGATCGATGGATTCTATGGCATAAAGCCTAATTATCTCAAAGAAAAAAAAATCACTTCATAATAAAAATATCATTATTAGCGTTAAATGCGGCACATATTAATGTAATAGTCAGTATCAAATTTATTAATTTAACACCTAATTTGTCATACAAATTTGATATTTAATTGCATTTGGTTGATGTATGAGTTTTTAATAAACCATTGCAATATTATAATTTTTAAATTGTTTAAACGTTTATTTTACATGCTAACACTTGATTTTAGTAGCACTTATATTAACACTGTAAATAAAAAATACAAAAATAATTTAAGTTGCAAATATAACATTCACATTTGCATTTACATTAAAAAGGAGTTTTCGCAAAGAAAAAGGAAGCCACTAACACATCTTAACAAATCTCATAAAAACCTGTAAAAAGGAATCTGCTTTTTTTCATTCTAAAATTTCATTTAACTAAAAAATTTTACAGACACTAATAATAATACAGTTAATCTTGTAGTACACAATACAAAATACTTGATAAAAATCGGATCCATCAATGTGTGATTTTCTAATAAAAACACTTGATATCGATAAAAGGACTATTGGGTAGGAAGAATACTTCAAGGGACATGCAGTGAAGTCGGCGAGTTGCAATCAAACGACACAACGTAAAACACGTGTGCCGCCCCTATCACGCCACTATAGCTCACCACTGTTTAGAGTAAAACCCCAAAAGAGTACAACCACCATTCGAGAAAAGTACCTTAAAATGCCTCCAAACTGTTAGGATTCCATCCTTTAAATAAAATCAAATCCGCTCCAACAAAACTACCTTGTCAAACACAACCAATGTCATTAAAAATCCCACAATGACATAAACCTCGTAACTAATTTTTAAGATCAAAAGTCTAGCAACGTGTCTAAAAATGGTCTTGAAATTCCGACCTACTTACTCTCTAATTTTCTATTTTTAAAAAATATTTTCAGTAAGTCTTTTATTTTAAAGTACTTACTATAACTATTATTATGACAATTAATTATTAATTACCATAAATGTCTTATTATAAAAAATATTTTGAAATATATTTTTCACCGTTCACATTTCAGAAAAATGTTATTTGACACAAAATTATTATTTTATTTGAATTTAGTTAAATTTTGTTATTTGTCATAAAACTTTATTTCATAACGATCTTAATTTTCCTAAATAATTTCCCTCAAAATTTTTTTCCTAAATAATACTTAAATAAAAATAAAAATAAAAAATAAAGAGAAGAGAGAGAAAAATAATTACCTAAATAATTACTTACAACGTATTCCGATCTAGTTTGGCCATATTTCCATTGTTTTCGAACCAATACCACCAGACGGAGGAAATTCACCACCGGAGCTCCGGAGCCCTAGCCGGCCGGCCAAGATGTTCCCGCAATTCGGCGCGACGGCGGAGACTCTGAGCAAGGCCTCAACAATGGTGTTCCGGATCGGTACGGACGCCCACCTCTACGACGATCCCGACGACGTCAACATCGCTCCTCTCCTCGACAGCAAGTTCGACTCCGAGAAGTGTGAGGCTCTCAAGCGCCTCCTCGCTCTCATCGCCCAGGGCTTCGACGTCTCCAATTTCTTCCCTCAGGTCACGATCTCATCTCTCGTATTCTCTCTCGATCGCGATTTCGATTTCGATTTTTCTCTTTTGGTTGGTATCGAGAGGAATTGAAGAAGGAAATTGAGGGAAAGTGAACGGAATTCTCTATTGATTTGCAGGTTGTTAAAAACGTGGCGTCACAGTCGTTAGAAGTGAAGAAGCTGGTTTACTTGTACTTGTTACATTATGCTGAAAAGTATGCTATGCTTCAACACTGAAATTTCTGAACTTGAATGATTTTCTCATTTGTTTTACTAGAAAGTATGTTTATTTAAGGTGTTTCTTAGATCATCTCCGTTGCAAATACTAATGATAATGCTATATTTGGCATTAAAAAGTGTAAAAACACACTTGATGTGTTATTTTATTTTGTGTTTGAATGAATACTGCTATTTTTAAATGCCATATCTACTGTTTTCATAATCATTGACCTTTAAAAGTTGTAGAAGTAAACTTTTAATTTTAAAATAAACTTAACAATGTCAATAGTGATTAAATGAAAAGTAAAGACGTCAACCAATAGCTATCAATGCTAAAATTCAACATATGCTATACTTGGTTGCCAAAATTTCCATCAAGTATAGCATATGTCCAATTTAGCATTAAATATAGCACTGCATTGGAGAGTGTTTTTTAACTCAAATACTTAAATTCAGCATTAGCATGCTAATTCAGCACTATATTGGAGATGCTCTTCCATGTAAAGTTAATAAGCTTAGTGTAGGATCTGTTTATGTGTTGGTCATGAGGGGTTTCTTTTGCTATTTTAGGCGCCCCAATGAAGCATTGTTGTCGATTAATTGTTTCCAGAAGGATCTTGGGGATCAAAACCCGTTGGTCAGAGCCTGGGCGCTTCGAACAATGGCGGGAATCCGATTGCACGTCATTGCGCCTATTGTTCTTGTTGCTGTTGGTAAATGTGCAAGAGATCCATCTGTGTACGTCCGAAAATGTGCAGCAAATGCTCTTCCCAAGCTGCATGATTTGCGCCTAGAGGAAAATGCAACGGCGATTGAAGAGGTACGGTTACCTTTTGTTTGAACTGATTATTTATTCATTTTTGCATTGCTCAACAAGAAATGCACACATATCTCTGACACACACAAGCATGCGTGTAATCTATCACAGGAGTTTCTTCAACCATATTTACATTTGTTGTGAAGTTTGAGTCATGCACCAATTCCTAATTGTCTTGTCAATAATAAGCTTTAACGGCAAGTTGCAGTCTTGCAAAAACCAAGCTTTATGTATGTGCTGCCGAGATAATAGGGTCTTGGTGCTACACACACCTAGATGTGTATGTAATTGTTTGGTTCAATTCCTATAATTTGAGTTTGTTCTCTTTCTGCAGATTGTAGGAATACTATTAAGTGATCGTTCCCCCAGTGTGGTTGGAGCAGCAGCTGCAGCATTTGCTTCTGTTTGTCCAAATAATTTGCCTCTGATTGGAAGAAACTTTCAAAGACTATGCGAAATTCTTCCTGATGTTGAAGAATGGGGTCAGATAATTTTAATCGGCAGCCTTCTACGCTACACAGTTGCAAGGCATGGACTTGTACGGGAATCAATTATGTTTTCTTTGCACCATACGGAAAGTAATAAATCAGAAAAGTGCAGCTCAGAATCAGATATGAAGTTCGCATTGGTGGAAGATAATGGTGACATGGGCTGGAATTATGAGTCTGAATTATCACAGATGGTCATGCAACGCTACATTGAAGGACACGATGTGTATTTATCTAGGTCAAGTTTCACAAATAATGGTCCTTCGGAATTTAAAGGGGAATATTTTACATCTAGCAGAAGTAATGAAGATGTCAAGATCCTGCTGCAGTGTACGTCGCCATTGTTATGGAGCAACAACAGTGCAGTCTTACTAGCAGCTGCAGGGGTGCACTGGATTATGGCTCCAAGGGAGGATGTTAAACGAATTGTTAAACCACTATTGTTTGTCCTAAGATCCTCTAATGCCTCAAAATATGTGGTAGTTAATCATTTCCTTAGCTTTCAGTTTTTGAAATTAATTGAGGTGTGGGTATGTTAATATGTTGTATGTTGCTTCCTTTACTAATCTTACGCGTTCTATGCCTGCATACTCTATTTTTAATTTTTCCTAGTTTTAGCAATCTTCATTTGAGAAAGAATGAAGCCTGAAGGCCTTATTGTTGTTTTGATTTATGCCACATTTTCTCTTTTAGTCTGCATTATATTGGTAAGTACCTTCCTTGGTCAGTAATGCTAAGATCTCTTGAAAAAAAAAAAAAAGAGGGGGGGGGGGGGGGGGGGGGGGGGGGGGGGGGGGGTGTCTATTGTAGAATAAGGGGATATATAGAAGGGGAAAATAGAGGGGAGTTGGTTAGAGAATTGTTTTGTGAGAAGTTGGAGAGTTCAGGTCTCTCGAAAACCTGAGTGTAGGAATTGTGTCCGGAAAGATTCTTGTCTCAATCTTCCGATAGTTGTTCCAATTCAATAATTCGTGCTTAATAACATTTCTACTTACCATTCCGTATCAATTCTGTATCACCTTCCTTGGTCAGTAATGCTAAGATCTCTTTCATTATCGATCATCTTTTGTCGGTTTTTGGTGGATATTGATAGTGAAGATTGTTTAATGGTTGATTTCTATCAGGTCCTCTGCAACATTCAAGTGTTTGCAAAAGCAATGCCTTCTCTCTTTGCTCCTTACTTTGAAGACTTCTTCATATGCTCTTCAGATTCCTATCCTATAAAAGCTTTGAAGCTGGATATACTGGCTTCCATTGCTACAGATTCTTCATTTTCATTAATATTCAAAGAGTTTCAGGTAAGTTTCTTCTCTTTTTTCTTTCCTTTGTTAATAGGTACAGCCTAGGATGAATTATGAACTTATATATATGCTTGTGTTTGCATGTATGTGTGCATTTTTGTTTCTTTGTTTCTTATAATAGAGGCTTTTGGTAACTTGTTCATTATGCGGCGTACACCTTTTGGATGCTTTCATTGTGTAGCTTGTTCTCAGTTGTCTGGTCCTTTGTGTTTTTGATGTTACCACTCTAGTAGGACAACTAGATCATCTGCTATTTTGAGAAAAAAAAGGTGAACTTGAGGAAATCACCAATACGAATGTTAGTTTATCAAACTTATAAGAAACAAGGAAAGTGTTGATCCCAATTCCTCAGCTAATTTTGAATTGTTCCATTTGCTGAAAGTTAAACCTATGTGCAAAGGTGCACCAATGATTGTGCATTTTTGGTTTTTTTTTTTTAAATATATATTCGTTGCAAGTCCTTTTCTTTTTTTTTTTTTTAACTTCCGTTTAAACTTAGTTTTGTATATAAGTATCTGCGCAATGACTTTATTGGAAACATTTTGTTACAAACCCATTAGGTAGAACTCACCCTTCCAAAACCGGCTTGCAAGGGGAGGGAACCCAAAGGCTTGTAAACCCACTATTTATCTTATAACATTCCACCACGCTTTGCAACTACTGGGTGACTTCACGGATCCTGCCTTTTATCAGGTAGCAGCCCTCCCTAGGTCACCCCATCTGTAGGCAACGGTTACAGAACCGCAGTCCATACTACGTCCGATCCCATACTCGACGTGGTGGTTTTGTAACATTCCACCACGCGTGGGCCCAAATCAATGGCATTCTACATTATCGACACTGACCCGGTGGCAGCCCTTTCCTCATTTGGCTGCTTAACTCGGCTATTAGTATTCGACGCTTGCTTCACCAACGCATCTTAATCCAGTCTATAATGCAACTGTTTTTGACTTGAATCCTCGACGTGGTGGACTGGCTCTGATACCAATTGTTACAACCCCATTAGGTAGAACTCACCCTTGCAAAATCGGCTTGAGGGGAGGGAACCCAAGGGCTTATAAACCCACTATTTGTCTTATAATCATTCCATGTGGGACTTTTTTTGGTATCTAACACATTTCTGTGTCATCAAGGTTCACAGATTTAATAGCATGAACTTATATTGATATTTTATAGTGTTTTCCAGGATTATATTCGCAACCCTGACAGGAGATTTGCTGCTGACACCGTTGCTGCAATTGGTATCTGTGTGAAACGACTTCCAAAGATGGCAAGTACGTGCTTGGCAGGGCTATTGGCTTTGACTAAACAAGGTTTGTGGGTTTTGGGAACCAAGAATATTAATTTCTCAATTTGCTTCCTTTTCGTCCCACTAATTACATCCAGCATTGCAGAATTTTTTACTAGTGACGCTGGATCAATGGATGGAGAAGCGGATGTTTTGATTCAAGCAATATTTTCTATTAAATCAATCATTATGCAAGATCCGCTCAGCCATGAGAAAGTATCCTTCTTTTCTGATTTCTGTGTTGAGTTGTTTCACCACTTGTTTTTGGTGTTCACTTTTCCTCTTGTCTGTTGAATGTTTGTCTTTCCTCGAAATTATAGAGAAGAAGGGTATAATATAAATAAGATATAAAGACTACTTGCATGTATGCGAGTTTGTTTTGGGAAAAAATATCTGTTTGTTTGATGCTTTGGTTCATTAGATATTAGTTTTGAGTCGCTGCATGCTAGTGACGTGACCTGACGAATTCCTAATGTAAACATTTTCTAGTGGTTGGTTGTCAAAGTAATTGTGCATCAATAAGCTCTAAGCTATTAATTCTTAGTTAGTTCTTGCCTTGAATTCGTAAATCATTGGATGTGTTCCCATTTCTATTAAAATGGTCACTTTTGTGATGGCGTTGCAATTTCAACCTCAGGCATGCTAGTATGTAAAATATGCAGCTAAGAATTGGTTACAAAATTAGACACCTCTACTCGGTCATTCCATGCCATTTGTGATACTTTCATGCCAAGTTGAGATATGTTTGGAGTTTTACTTTTAAACATCATTCTAATGATATCACTCTTATTGTTTCTCTTTAGGTGAAACTGATTTCTGTTTATTTTAAAGGTCATTATTCAGTTGGTTCGTAGTTTGGATTCAATGAAGGTGCCTGCAGCTCGTGCAATGATCATTTGGATGGTAGGAGAATACAACTCTCTGGGGGAGCTGATACCAAGGATGTTAACCACAGTCCTTAAATATCTCGCATGGTGTTTTACTTCTGAAGCATTAGAAACAAAACTTCAGATTCTTAATACCACTGTCAAGGTACATTAGATTATTCTTATTTCATGCTGCAAGATTTATTATTGTTTGTCATGTATCTCTTACCAGCTCAGATTATTTTATGGGACATATAATATATATATATATATATATTCCAATGTGTTTTTATGTGTTTGTTATCTTAAGCGTTTCCTTTAGGTTGTTCTATTCATTTTTGCTACCTGGCTGGAAGATTGAGTTGCTGATCTGATTTGTTTGGTGAAGGGCTTAAACGTTACTAGCACCTGTTATTCTAAAGGTTCATATTGTCTTCTCTATAGGTTTTATTACACGCAAAAGGTGAAGACATGTTGACATTTGAAAGAATTTTAAGCTATTTGCTTGAACTGGCTGAATGTGACTTGAACTATGATGTTCGTGACCGCGCTTGTTTTCTGAGGAAACTTCTGAAATTCTATTTAGATTCACAAGATGTAGAAGCAGAAACAGATTATCCACACCAAAATATGGACTCGTCACGTATACTTGCAAAATCCATATTTGGGGGACAAACAAAACCATTGATTCCTGAATCCAGTAATCATCGGATTTATCTTCCTGGGTCTTTATCACAGATAGTACTTCATGCTGCTCCACGTTATGAACCTCTGCCAAAGCCTTGTAGCTTAATCTGTGAAGGTCTGGAAATGAATGCATCAGGGGATCAAGCCGCTAGTTATCCCGCAGAATCTGATGATGTTGACTCAGTAAATGGATCGTTGGATGAGGAAACTGCTTCTCAATATAGTTCTCAGCACTCTAGTACAGGTTCCAGTTCCAGTGGCTGCTACAGTAGTTATGAAACTGGTTCCGCAAGAGAAGATGGCGACAACGCTGATCCTTTGATTCAGTTATCAGATCCTGGCAATGCTTACAAAGTGCAAAATCATACTTCTGAGACTGGTTCTGCTGATTTTGGAGAACTGATGTCAAAGAGTGCTCTAGATTCGTGGTTGGATGATCAGCCTGGTTTGTCTAATATGAATACTTTCGAACCAAGTCCAATCCATAAGTCTTTGGCAAGAATCTCCATTGGAGATATAAAAGACAAAATAAAACGTAAAAGCTACGTGCTCTTGGATCCAGTAAATGGAAATGGCCTAAAGGTGGACTATCGCTTTTCGTCTGAGATTTCAAGTATCTCTCCTCTACTTGTTTGTGTTGAAGTTTCCTTCAAGAACTGTTCAATGGATCCTATGTCCAGCATAACTTTAGTTGACGAGGAATCTAGCAAAGTCTTGGATAATGCAGATCAAGCTCCAAGTATGACAGAGAGGTGATATATTTATATTTGCTTGAGAAAATTCTACATTTCTTATGGAAAAAATGATGATTCTGAATTATGCTTTTCTAAAAAGCGCCAATGATTGTGTTTGCTTGGTTTTGAATTTTCATACTTGTGACATCGCGTCATTATCTGAACCATTTGATTTAGTGGGTGCTCCAGATGGGTCATACCTAGAAAGCACAGGAAAATCGTAATCTTGATGGCCTGGTTGAATTTTAATGATGAAATAAGATCGTTCTTCTTAGTTAGAAGCGTTCATGCATACTTGGAGAATTAATTGAAGTTTAATATCTCCCCCTTGATTTTTCAGTTGAAGCTAGTTAGTTGAGATTTTAATTGCTTTGGGGTAATGCGTTAAAGAACCTGAAGTCGGTTGCAGTCTCAATTTTGTATTTGATCAGTTCTGTCTAGGTGGTGAAACTTTAATGTAAGGTCATGGTTCAAGTCAACCCATCAAACTTTATTGAGCTTTGATGCCGTTATTTGAAATTGAGGGGTGGTTCTTGATGTCCTTTTATTATTGCCATGAGATATTCTGAGATTGTGTTATTGGAACAAATCAGGTGCTCTTTTACCTCATTTTAATAGTTACTTTCATAACTTTTTTAATTTTACTATCTATAAATTGTACCATTTTATTTTATTTTATTTTTTGATTAGCCATCTTAATTAGCTGATGTCCTTTGTATTGCTACATGTTATTCTTATTACTGTTTGAGTTATTGGATCAAATCAGGTTGTGCTTTTCACTTCACGTTAACATTTACTTCCATAACTTTTTTATTTTCTACCATAAATTATCGTGGTCCATATATAGTTTGATAGCTAGGTAGCCCCATTCGTGAAATCAGCATTATGATTATTATTTCTAAACAATTGGGCTTATATAAATCTGGAGCCTTTGGTTCTTGATGTCTTGTCATCTTAGCTTTTGTAAGGTCTAATTTCAATCCAACTTGGCTTGATGTGACAGCTCCATAATATCTCAAGATGATCTGCCAACCTTGGTTTCTGAGGAAGAGATCACTTCCCTGGAACCAGATCAAACGACGACAAAAATTTTCCAAGTTCGGTTGCATCACCATCTCTTGCCTCTAAAGCTGATTTTGCACTGTAATGGGAAGAGGCATCCTGTTAAATTATGGCCTGAAATTGGATATTTTATAAAAGCTGTCCCCCTGGACCTAGACGCCTTCACAAGCAACGAGTCTCATCTAAAAGGAATGTTTGAATGCACTAGGAGGTAACTAACTCATTTTTTTTTCTTTTTCATATTCCCTAAATCCTATGTTTTGACTGTGTTTGTTGTTCTTTAAACTAAGGGCATGTGGAACGAGATATTGTCTCTCTTTCCCATTGATTCATGTGTAAAGTAAGAATGGGCACATGATGTAAGGGATGAGAAAAAAGAATGTTAACCCTAACTCCCTCGGTGTCTAAAAGCCGATTTCACTAATATGTCCTTATCTAGCCAATGATTGTTAGTTATGCACAAGGACATTTTAGTACTAAAATTTCTTTTTAACATAAAAACCATGGTAAAAAATAGAGAGAGAAGCTCCTTCTCTCGACAATTTCTTTAGGTTTATTTCTTCAATGGTTATATCTTATTAATCACAATGAGATATGAACATTTCGATCAAGATATTAGGACCAAACAATATAGGATCTAAACTTTACAAAGTTTATATAGATGGTTATGGGAGTTTAGTGAGATTAGGAGAATCAAATTCTAGAGCGAAATCAAATTCTTATTTCTTGGATGCGGTTGCACGGTTGACTTGCGTCAAACATTAGAAGTTATATGCAAGGTCCAGAACAACGATGGCTTCAAGAAGAAATTCAACGGATCACGGTACGTATTATTGGTGGAAGTCTTGAAGAATTCAAGGGGAGAATACTTGAAGATCACGAAGGTTCATTCAGGGCTAGTCAGAAGCATTATGCTTCCGGGAGATAGTCACAAAATTGGTTGGAGGAGCCACCATGAACAAAATGAACAAGTTGCTGGGAAGAGCCTCCTTTTTCAGAGGAGCCACCATGAATGTTGAGGAAGATTTTAAACCTGAGGTGAGGAAGGTAATAAGACCAAGAGTTGATAATTATATTCAGAAAAACTCAGGAATACAACAGTTAAGGTTTCATCAACAACATAGTCGAAGGCCTCTATCAGTTGGTAACCAAAATATTGTTCAAGTGGAGTACTGTGACTTACGCAAAGATAGTAGGAGATTGTTGGGTTTCAAAAGATGTCCTGCGGTATAACGAGTTGGAAAAAAGGGAGGTAAACAAGGTATTGGACAATGTAGTGATTATTTTCAGAGACTGTTTGGAACATCACTGGTCTGAGATAGAAAGGGGTTTCAATTTCATGCTTCGCAGACAGATTTAGGTTTCACCTCTGGCGACAGATAGAGCAGTCCTATGGTGCATAGACAAGGATGAGAAAGAGGAAATACTCAAAAACAAGATGCTGTGGTTGGAAAACAGATTTTATGGCACTGTCAAAATATGGAGCCCGAAGATACACTAGAAGAATTTAAAGATTCCTGCACGTTCGAGTTGGATTGGAGTTGAAGGTCTCCCCCTTAACATGAGAAATCAACACGTTTAAAAAGTGATAGGGGAGAAACTAGGGGTCTTAATCAACATAGCTGAGTGTTCTCTTAATTTTAGCTTCATCCCATATGCGATGATTCAAGTCCGAGGTCTACAAAGTGGTTTTATTCCATCAATTATGTGAATTTTATGCTGGGGGAAGGAGATTCAAATCTCTTTGTTAAACTTAAACAGAGATTTCATGCCCCAAATTTCGGAAAGTTACTGAGGGCTTGAGGGAGGCAGCGGACGAGGAAGATGAAGATGACGTGGAGGACATGCAATCAACAGTGGGGCGAAGTGGCAATCTCTGCACGGCCAGCGTGGAAGATAATTTAGAGGCGTTCGAGTAAGGTGAAGAGTCTTGGTTTGGAGGAGAAAAAGGAAGTTTTTGAGAAGGTTTATCATGAAGAGGAAGCTTCTAGATAGCATGTACATAACATATTTAATGCTCTGAACTGGATAGATGAGGTATGCACATAAGACGAGGAGTTCGGAGTGATATCTGATAATTTAGTTACACCACGTGCTATTAGTAGGGCTGTCTCAGAACTTGCACGGTTAGGTCCGTTAGTTTACCAATCCATCCCAAAAGCTTAAGCTATTAGGAGGTGGGCCAACAATAGTTTTATACTTTAACACTCCCCTTCACATGTGAGCTGGACAATGGGTAATCATGTGGGTAAATTAATTAGAAAGCCCAACACGTGAATATTTAAGCCCGAGATATATTAAAGACCCAACACATGATGACAATTTAAATGGGGATAAAGAGTGCAATTACGGGGGTTTGAACTCGGGACCTCCTGCTCTTGTGGAAATTTGAGAGGAAAAATTGAAGGAATTGTATATTACATGACAATTACGCTATGAAGAAGGTAAACTAATAAGCTTGTTATTCCACACCTTGGTGTTGAATGCAGTAATCTTGAAGTCAAATATTCTAATCAGTTGAAAACTAATTTCAGATTCAAAATTATTAGATATAGAAGTATCAAGGCATCGACCACATCAACTAATCCATTTCCTGTGCCAACCGGTTTATATACAGGAGCCCTAGCCTATAGAAACGGCAATCACATTCCATAATATGTGGGATATCACACTAAAAAAGAAAACTAACCAAATCAACCTAATTCTAGGGAAACTAACTATTATATTCAAACTTTCCTAATTTAGTCTATACACGTGTAAAACACATTCTTCCACACTCCCCCTCAAGCTGGTGAATAGGTATTCACCATTCCCAGCTTGGATACAAAATTTTCAAACACTAAACTACTTAATCCCTTGGTGAGTATATCAGCAAGTTGGCCATGTGTAGATACATAAGGTGTACAAATCAGTCCACTATCCAACTTTTCTTTGATGAAGTGTCTGTCAATCTCGACGTGCTTCGTTCGATCATGCTGCACTGGGTTGTGAGCTATGCTGATTGCAGATTTGTTATCGCAATAGAGTTTCATAGGGCCGTCCCACATAATCTTCAGATTCTCTAGAACAATCTTCAACCATAGTAGTTCACACACACCCTGAGCCATTGCTCAGTACTCTGCCTCAGCACTAGACCGTGCTTCCACATTCTGTTTTTTACTCCTCCATGTCACCAGGTTTCCACCAAGGAAGGTTCAATAACCTAAAGTTGATCTTCTGTCAACAACTGACCCAACATAGTTAGCATTTGTGTATGCCTCAAGAACTAACCCTCCATTCCTCTTGAAAAGGATGCCTCTACCTGGTGTCCCTTTGAGATATTGCAAAACTCTGTATACCACCTGCAGATGAACTTCCTTTGGATTGTGCATGAACTGACTGATCACACTCACCGCATACGCTATATCTGGCCGTGTGAGAAAGATAAATGAGTCTCCCCATCAACCGTTGATACATCTCTCTATCCACCATAGCATCTTCTGCCTCCAAGCTTGAGATTCGGTTCTATTGGAGTACTCACTGGTTTGCATGCTGTCTTGCCAGTTTCTTTGAGTAGATCTGTAACATACTTCTGTTGAGAGATGAAAATGCCTTGCTTAGAATGAGCCACCTCAATCCCAAGAAAATACTTCAATCTTCCTAACGTCTTGATCTCAAATTCCTTAGCTAAACATTGACTTAGAAGTTGTCTCTCCCTATCATCATCGCCAGTCATAATTATGTCATCAACATACACCAATAGGGCTGTAACTTTACCTGAAGGTGAGTGTTTAATGAACAAAGTGTGATCTCCTTGACTTTGCCTATATCCCATAGCTGTCATTACTCTAGCAAACCTCCCAAACCATGCTCGCGGTGATTGTTTAAGTCCATACAAGGACTTTTTTAGTCTACATACTGTACCAGCAGTCAACCCTTTATTATAACCCGGCGGAACTTCCATATAAATTTCCTCCTCCAGTTCTCCATGCAAAAATGCATTCTTGACATCAAACTGCTGCAAATCCCAATCACCATTAGCTGCTAGTGACAATAAAACTTTAACAGTGTTCATCTTTGCAACCGGAGCAAACGTTTCTTGATAATCAATCCCATAGGTTTGAGTATAACCCTTGGCCACCAACCTAGCCTTGTATCTTTCTATTGATCCATCTGCTCCATATTTTATCGTGTAAACCCATTTACACCTTACGGGTTTCTTTCCTTCAGGTAACTTCACTAACTCCCAAGTTTTGTTCTTCTCCAACGCCTCCGGGTTTCTTTCCTTCAGGTAACTTCACTAACTCCCAAGTTTTATTCTTCTCCAACGCCTCCATCTCCACATTCATGGCTTGCTTCCATTTTTCATTGGTTAAAGCCTCGGATAAAATGGCAGGGATGGCAATGGTGTTTAAGCTGACAAGGAAGGCTCTATGAGATGGTGAAAAGTGTTTAAAGGACAGGAAATATGCAAGAGGGTATAGGGGTCGGTTTGTGCATTCTCTAACTCCTATCCTGATAGCAATAGGGAGGTCTTGGTCATCATTGTTTATCTCAGATTCAGATTGAAAGAAGGATTAGAAATTGTTATCTCATTCTCAGGATTTAGGTTGGAGTCTTGGACTTGCACAGATTCAGGGACAGCCTTCTTCCTTCTCGAGAACACTTTGCCTTTGCCAAATCTCACACTATCAAGGGCCGGATTTGTAGGTGGGTTTACAGGAGGCTCAGGATTTGGATTTTCAGTGGGCTCGGTGGGAGGAACATTTTCAGTAGGCTCGGTAGAAACATCCATGGGACTAGGCTGTCTTGACATGAAGTGGGGAAGATGGCAGATCAAGAAGCAAAAAATCTGCCTTATCCTTATCTTCCATTACTGAATTCTCCCCCTGAAGATAAGGAACAATGAAATATGATATTTGTTCATGGAAGGTCACATCAGCTGAGACATAGAACCTTTTTGATGGGGAATGATAGCACTTATACCCCTTTTGAGTTGAAGAATATCCCACAAACACACATTTTAATGCCCTTGGATCTAATTTTCCCCAGTCCTGACTATGAACATGAACAAATGCCACACACCCAAATATGCGAGGAACAAGATTATTTGTGGTGTGTAGGTTTGGATAGAACTTGGAAAGGACATCCATTGGACTTTTAAATCCTAGGACTCTAGAAGGCAAACGATTTATGATATGGGCGGCTGTAAGAACCGCTTCTTCCCAAAAA